GCATTGACCGAAAATGCTTGCTGGGATTTTGGGTTTGGCCAAAAACCCAGTTGGTTAGTTTATGCAGTTTATACAGTTTAATGCATACACAAACGTGTGAGTTTGCCAAGTCATTTTTGGCACAGGAACTGAGATGTGGCTACCCCGAGTTATGGTCGAAAAGTTGTCGGCGAAACTTTGCTAAGCCTTTTAATGGATATTTAAATGAAGAGCTAAGTGGGTCACTCCGGGAAATATTGAAAACCCAATCAACACAGTCGATAGATAACCAACTTGCAACCAAAATAGACACTCTTTTCACTAATTGACAGTCTATAAATATTTGATATTGCATCAAACCGGTTGATAGTTCATCGTTCAGTTTACTTTTGCCGGCATTGAAAGCAATTTGAAGTGATAATTTCCCTGATGAACTCTATTTCGGGTCGCCGTGACAGTTGACAGCTGCTTGAAGGACCTTTTTCAATGAACTTATTGAAAGGTTTGTTTTGGGGAAAGCTGAAAAATAATCATCTTAAACGTGTTGCCTTTTAAGTTGTAAACCTTTTAGTACCTTTACATCACTGTTGACTTGGTCAAGGAACGTACACAGTATTCCGATCACACTTAGAGAAATGGTGAAATATAAAAATTCTATATAATAACAAAAATGGTATTCCTATAAAAAAACTTTTGTGGAAAATGTTTTGAGTGTTTGCAGCTGGAAACACGCTTTTAATTTTGATTAATGGCATCAAAGTCGACTTTTGGCTCGCATCATTTATATGGCTGACTGACCGAGCACTCGGCGTAGGCCTTTCTAAAACTTTATCCCGAAAGTTTCCTATTTTGTTGTTATCGATTCCATGATGAATTGCTCCGTGCGATTCGCTTGACACTTTGTCGAATCCCAACCAGCGTGTTTTTCACCGAGTCCAAGAAATACGTTGCCTTTTGCAATTTAATTAAAATTTTCTACTGCATACTTTCCGAAAGAGTTGGTCATAATCGTTGGCTGCCGCCTTTGCTTCGGTGTTTCTCAACTGGCGTAAAGTTTATTTTTATTACTCTTTCAAGTAACATTAAAATTTAGTTGCATACGCAACAGTTCAGTGGAGAAAGGAGAAAGGAGAAAGGAGGAGGTTGAGAGCAAAGGGGGCGGGGTCGTTTGGCTATAAAAATCCTCCAGTGTAAAACTATGCTGCGCTTTTATAAGTATTTTATTTGTAGCATCCCGAAGGAGAAGGAGTGGCAGGACTTGCCGGTTCCTTAGACTCAGCAGATTTAGCAATGCTTTGGCAAAGTTGCCGCATTAAAAATACAACACGCCGACCAAAAAAGGGGTCGAGGTTCGAGGTTCGAGGGTCGAGAGTTGTGCCAAACACACAGAGTTGCAATTTTCCCCATTTTGGAAAAGCGGAAGGGGGAGGGGAATCCCCATTCTACTCCCCTTTTCCCCCGGAAAAGTGCCCCGGGGGCAGAGAGTGGGAAATGCAATGAATCGTTAAATTTAGCATCGTATTTCAATGCAATTCAGTAGAACGAAACGGAACGAAGCGAACGAAACGAAAACGCTTCTGATGCTGACAGGTGAATTGCAGCTGTCAGTCAGTGGAAACAACCCCACGGCTCATCTTCTGCTTTTTCGAAAGGCATCTTTTTCCCCCATCCTCCGGTTTTCCTCCGCTTTTCCTCCGCTTTTCCTCCACCCCGTCATCTGCCAAATGATTTGTCGCCAACATGGCCACATATATACGGACTTATAGAGATACCTACATGTATAAGCGATGGGCAAGCAGCTTAGCAGCTCATCCTTCCTGTGCAGCATCTTATGACTATTTGCAATGGAAGCGTTTCCATTTCACGAGTCACATACATAGTTTGTACGGCATACAACCTGGACCAAGCCAAACCAAACCGAACCGAAATCAACCGAACTGAACTGAACGGAAGGGAACGGAACCCTTTGGCCCATAAAATGTTACCCACTCGCACTTTGCACTTATTAAAAAGTCGTACTCTTCTGTTGTGTGGGGTAAATTCTCGGGCCTTCGGGCATAAATTTTGAGAATGTAGGCGCGCTCGATGAGCCTAACTTTCAAGTTTTTTCCCCTAACTAGGCCTGGGGCCATAAAACCCAGCTGCATACTTTACGATTCCGCTCCAGCATATGCTGATTTTATATATGCACACATATCCACATCCCCGCATTCCACATCCACTAAAGTGGAGATTGAGATTGAGGCATATTCCCTCTTTTCCGTGAATGCCACACGGGGTCAATTTTTATGAGCATTTTGGCATATTGGAAAATGGGGCCAAAAGTTATGGGTATAATTTAAAGGGCCAAAAAAAAAAAAAAAGAAAAGAAAAGAGTAGCGAATACAGCGGTGGCAGCAAAAGGGGCAGACATATCATATATTGACCTAATTTAGTTGCTTTTGCAGCAAAATAAATCATTGTTTTAATAATATAAATCAACTTAGGCTTCTTTGAAATTGTTAGTATAACAAGTTACTTACTGTTGTTTGCTAAAATTAATAATCACTTCTACTTGCTTAATTTATGTATAAGATGTTTGCAGACAAACCAATTTGATAACCGTGATCATAACTTATAAGGTTTCCTAGGCAAATCTAATTTAATTATACAAATAGCTGATTCAGCTTGCTAATTTGAGCTTCACCATAAAATGCTTGAGTAAAGTTAATAATCAAAATTGATAATTTAAATAGTAAACTGTTTTCAATTATTTAGTACACACCTTGTTCGATATTTGCCTTTAATATGCGTTTTATTTCTCTAGGACGACTATCATCCTTTTATGTTCCACTTGACCCATTGTTAGTTTTATATTTCAATTTGCACTTTAACTCATTCTCCCTTCGTCTAAAGCTGTTTTTTAGTTCTTTTTAACTACGCCCCTGATTGGGCAAAAAGCTTATAGAATATTTTTCATAAAATCAATACGAATTTTCTATTTCGTGTGGGTTTTTTGTTTTTAACCTTTTTTTGTGTAGGGTCTATAGTAAAAATGTTAGTATTAATTTCCATATAAATTGCTTGAATGCGCGCATTGGTATTTGTGCCCGTTTGTGTGTGTGAGTGGGGGCTTATATATGTATGAATGTGTGAGTGTGTGTATCTATAACTGCACATTTCAAACGCTCAAATCAATTTGCACATATCAACAACGAAATTGTTTGCTCAATGTGGACTGCGTTGCCAGAGCTTTATTCTTTTTTTTTTTTTTTTTTTTTATTTATTCCACACGGACGTGCGAAATGAAAAATCAGCAAAAAGTTGCACGCGAACTAAACTTGGCTGCAGTTAAGATTCCTTGATTTTGGCCCTCCATCCGCCAAACGAGCATTTTTATAGCCCGCGGCCTGTGTATCTATGTAATCTACAAATTTCATTTGCTATGCCTTTAATCTTTGTAACAAGAAAATGAAGCTGAGGAAGTAGTATCAGCAGCAAATAGCACAAACATAATTAAATTTATTTAAATTTTATCTCTGTATTTTCGCCTTAAACCAACAGCTTCGCAGTGTCGGCAATCCGGCAAATAAACAGAAATCCCTGTTTTATGGCCTTAATGATACGCTTTTTATGAGTCGGCACGGAAGTGTCTTGAATGCTGTCTGTCTGCCAGAGCGTGTTTGCTTCTTTTTTTTTTTTTTTTTTTTTTTTTTTTTTCTTGCGCCTTAGCCTTCAGCCATTGCCATGCCATCAAATTGTTTAAGCAAACATAAAACTTTACAAATGCGAGAAGCAGAAAAAAAGCAAGAAAAAGATATATATTTACTGAGAATTTGCGTTCGCCTCTGAAGTTGGCAGAGCGACGGAGAAGAGCTCATTACGGCCACAAAAACCAATATGCTTATTGCTGATTCGCTGGCAGCTCAGCCATGGCTATAAAAACTGTTAACGTAAGCGTAAAATGCTTTCAAGTGCTTCGCAAATCTAGCAAACCCACGCTGCTAAATCTTCCTGTGGCCCGCAACGTCTCATTCTTTTTATCCTTCCCTATTTTTTAATGAGCAAAAGCAACAATTGTTGTAGGTGCCAGAATTATTCTGCCTTTGCCAATTTTCTGCAAGCTAACTTGCTTTAATGTTGAGCAAAGTGCAGGTGATTAGTATTTCCTTGAGAAAAACTAGAAAGTATAAATCACTAAAATTGATTTAAATATTCAAAAAATGTTTCATTATAAAACGAATATACATATATTCTTTTTGCCTTGCTGCCCAAAACTTATGGCAATGGGGTGGTCAGAGAAAACTTGTCCGAGGAAAGTTGAGTTGGAAAACTTTTGTAAATGATACAGACAGACTATGCCGCAGCAAAAGCAAATTTGCTTCTATTATGGCCAGGCATCGCAAAACCAAAATAGTCTGCCCACAAAGCGGTAGCCAGAGGACGCTTGCCTTGTGGAAAACTTTAAATTATTTAGAATGTCCCTTACATTGTAGTCGGCACAATGTGCCCGGGCTTTTGACGCTTTTAGTCACAAGGCAGCTGCCAAATATTGTTATTTTTGTGGCTCTGGGGGTCACTATTTCAATATTACTTAGTTGCAACTGAGAGGCTTGCGATTGAGTGCAGTTTCCAGAAGGTTGGCTCTTAAACTCTAAAGGAAAGAATTTTTCATTAGGTGGGATTTAATTGAAATAAATATTTTATGATTTTTAGGATATTTTTGAAAGCCAAACAATCATATAAACACTGTATTGCTGAGCCAGTTATTGTGTATTAAATACTCTTATTAAGTTAGTGTTAAATACATTTTACCTATTCATTAAGTATACTAATTGCATAGCTTAGCTAATATTAAGTATGTTAGTTAAGCTAAGATTAGATCTATTAAATTACCTTTAATGAAACACCATCGCCATTAAATCAATAAAGTGCAATGTAAAGTTAAATAACACATAATTCGCGTTAATCGGAAACAAATTTGTCGTCGTGCGCGTAACGTTTCGTAACGTCATTACTAACCGGTCTGATGCCCATTGCAGATGCGAATTATTCGGATATACCATATATACAATATCTGACACGTAAGTCGGGCTGCGGCCTAAGGTACACTTGTCCAGCAATTTAAATGTCGCGTTACCTATCTATAGGTACCTATACCCTTTACATATATATTTAATTTCAATCAAAAACTGATGCAAAGAGAGAAAATGTGCATGGGAAAATCATAAATCGAATTGATATGTTGGGTAAACTACTTTACGTGCGGGGTCGAAAGGAGCGTTTGCCTGACAGCAGGCAGGACATGGCCTCTCCTGCTGAACGGCTGATGCCTTGGCAGCGTGCTGCATGCAGCATGCAGCATGCAACATGCACATGACAATATTTTTGCTGGTTGTTTAACGTTTCGTGATTTTTGCCAGATTTTTAATGCCACACATCTGTTTTCCCTGCCGTTGCCGCCTGGCTTCCCTATTCCCGCAATCCTGGTATCCTTCTTTTTTTTTTTTTGGCTCTCCCTCACACACACACGCACACAACTGCGAGGCACGTTCGTTGAGGGTGTGTGCGTGTGTGTGAGTGTGGGCAAACAACATGCGACGTTGTATTGACAGCATATTGTGACAAATATGTAAAAAGAATATACGAAGAGCATAACGCTCGCAGGAACCAACAAAAAGCGAGATACGAACGAAATAATGGAAATGCATTCGAGAGTTATTCCGGCAGCAGCTTTAAAACCCGACTGATGCCTACTTAATGCTCTTAGCAGAGCATAAAAACTAAACTCAAATACATATTGCTCGGCCATACGTATCACTTTCATAATTTCATAAATATTTTGTGCCAAAAAATATATGAATGCAAAAGGAATATTAAACTCAGTGCGCTTAAGAGGGATTAGCTGGAAAAGCGGCAGCGGGAAACCCGTCATTTGTGTGTGTGTGTGGCATCAACGCGAAACTTTAAGTACCCAAGGCCTAAAAATACTAATTCGCCGCTTTTGAGCCCAGTTAGCTAACCAGATTCGCCGTGTTCTTTTACGACCCGTCCACAGATCCACCGGAGATCATCAGGAAGCCGCAAAATCAGGGCGTTCGAGTGGGCGGCGTGGCGAGCTTTTATTGTGCGGCACGCGGAGATCCCCCGCCATCGATTGTGTGGCGCAAGAATGGCAAAAAAGTTTCGGGTAAGTTCCTGTAACGGCTTTTTAAGCCCCCTTTTCTACCACCCAGCTTCCATCCACCCAAAATCCCCTCGCACTTTTCCACTTTAACTGAGCTTCTCCACCCGATTTGCGCCATTCACAGGAACCCAGTCGCGTTACACGGTGCTGGAACAGCCCGGCGGGATTTCCATACTCCGAATCGAGCCAGTACGGGCGGGACGCGATGATGCCCCCTACGAGTGTGTGGCCGAGAACGGCGTGGGCGATGCCGTTTCCGCAGATGCAACTTTAACCATCTATGAAGGTAAGTGCCGTGCCACAACGTCATCGACATCGCCAACCCCATCGTCGTGTCCTGTTATTTATGGCCGTCGAGTGCAGCAGCCTCCTAATTGAACTCCTCTCGATAGGGGGGATGCACTGGGGGAAGTTTTCTAAAGCTAATATCAGGAATTGATATCTTAAAGTACTAGAACAGTAGGAAGTACTGGAAAGGAATAAATGCAGTTCCCATTTTAAAGTTTTTGAAGGGTAATAAACAAATATATGGGATGTGGTTTTAAATGCTTTAAATACCAAATAAACAGAAAAGATATTTTGTAGATTTTATAAAATAATCTCAAAAATGTATATTTTAAACTTTAAATTCAAAGCAATCAGAGTGGCATTTGTTTTTGTTACAAATATTTTGAAAGCATGAATGAGCCGCACAACTTGCATATTATTACAAAACTTAACCATACCATATTCTATGGCTTGTTTTTTTTTCATGTTTCAAAAACAAAGTTTGGAATAGCCATCTAACCGAATGCCTTCGTCTTCCGGTGCACGGAGAAAAGAGTCGTGATAGAGCGACACAAAAAGTTTCGTTTAGTATGCGACGCAATGTAAACTACGCTCATACATTGATTTTGAATTAAAACTGGGCAAAGAAGTTGGCGTAAATGGTAAACTTTTGGGGGGTGGTGGGGCGGGGCCCAAACCACCAGGCCCCCAAAGGATGGTGATGGTGGTGGAAAGTTATTTGCCATCTTGTTTGTGTGGCTTAAATTACTTGCCAAAATTTACTTTTGCTTATTTACAACTGTGCAAAGGATAAAGTTTTCGCTCTCTAAGCCTAATCAAGTCTGTGCGAGGGCGGATGGGCTTGGATAGCCAGGCAATTGAACTAATTTGCTTAAACTGAGAGCAGGCCAAGTATTTATACATTCATCCCCCCACTCATCCACTTTTTACCCAGCCCAACCACCCTTTTTTCCGTTGCCAAAATTATAAACAGCAAAAAGTTCAATAACAAAAATTTGCTCTCCCTAATGGGACCCTCGAAACTCTGGGAGAAAGGGAGAAGTTATAACTTTTAATGAGATTAAAGCAGCAAATTATTTGGTAAATCAACTCCAATACAAAATACATATTGATCGATGGTCTCTGGACGGCTGAGTTTATACGAGTTCGAGGCGAATCCAAAGTCTTGCTAAATTAATTATGAGCGCTCTTGGCTGATGAAGTAATTAAAATCATTCAAAGTTTTTTTTAATTTTAATTATGGAATTTTCCGTTAGCAAAAGCATTTCGTTTACTTGCAAAGTTTTAAAATAAATAAAATAAAGGCACGCAGTATGGTTGGAATAAAGATTGTTAAAGATTTGGTTGTGAATGTTGAAGGCTCTTATTAAAAATTAAACTGTGTGAAATTATTTAAGTCACTTCATGATTGATTATTTAAGGATAAGAAAAGTGCTAAATATTGAATGAGTGAATAAATTCATTGATGGGTTTTAGTATATAACATATAAATGCTCAGCAAACTTTCCAGATTTAATTCATTTATTAAGAAGCTGTTAAAAATATTAAGAGGAATCAAGTTCTTATTGATTAGTTTCACAGTTTGGTTTGTCTTGAAATCCTGTTGTGTGAAAAGCTAACGAGGCAGGATAATTACGTTACCTTGGCCTGCCTTTTTACCTTTTCCAGTCTTGTGCAGAACTTTTACCTTCACTCGCACGGTTGTTAGTCGCCGCTAAACTACACTAATTACTTCCCCTTTTCCACCTTACCCCTTCTCCTACTATATATCCCTTGTATCCCTCGTAACCCGTACCCCATTTGGGCCTCGGTTCGCTTTTGAGTCTATCAGCGAGCGTTACAACCTGCCACAAATCAAATGCACACCAATTACGTGGCGCCAAAGTGCACAGAGAGCATAATCAACTCGCATAATTAACAACTAAAAATGCAAACGTTGCCACTGGCCGCACAAAAGTGCAAGCGGGATAGAGACATTGTGGAAAAGAGAGGGAGAGACAGGCACAAACCGAACACCGAGTGTATCAACGAAAATATGTTCCTGTTTTCTGCTCGGCTTTCCATTTTTTTTTTTTTGTTTTTTTTTTTTTTATGTCTCGTTTACGTGGCCTCCGCCGCCGTGCAATTTTCACACATTTTGCGGTTCCCTTTGGCGGCCTCATAAACAACCAACAAACAACTAGCCAAAGCCCAAAACAACAACCATAATAAACAAGCTAAAATAGCTGGCAGACAGTAGTAAATTATAAGTTGGAGCTGTAACTCCTAGACTCGGGGATAAAGTAGTGCACATTACTCATACGCCGCGTACATAAATTTTAGCCACCCAGCCTTCGGGTACGTAATTATTTTCCGTTTACAAAATGTCTGCCAAACACCTGGAAGTGTAGGTGCGATTATGGTTGAATAATAAACAGATTTCCCTACGAAATATTATGCACAACTTGGCGAATTGCTTGAAAAATGATGAATGAAATAGTTGTACATCTCAAAAACCGAACATTTATTACCACTGTTGTTTTTTTTTTTTTTTGTAGTATGAAGATGTATGTAGAATGAAGGGGGAAGAGTTAGTTGTCGTGAGTTGAAAACAACATTCATCCCGGGATTCAGCTGAAAACATGACCGCCGTCCGCAGATAACAAAGTCACACAGACATGAGCAGGAAAAACCAAAAAATCCGGCAAGCAGGACTCAGCTTAAGGGGCACAACTAGTGTGACGGCCTAAAAAAATGGTGATTTTTGGGAATTTTTATAAAAAAAACTACTTGATCAATTCTTTTCAAATTTTCAGAATATATTTATACATATTTGAAGAATATACAGTAAAATTTTTAAAGAAAAAAATTAAATATTTTTTAAGCTAGAGCCGATCTCCAACGGCGCTAAAAAAAAAAGTGCCCCAACTGCTGCAGTGATTCCGGCCTTCTCCGTGGATGAAATCAAAAAATGAAAAATTCTCGTTAAACTAGATGATATTGTCCATACAATGACCTACGATAAATAAAAAATATCAAAAATTGACAAAATGGCGGCGTTTAAAAAAAAAAAAATCGAATTTTACCCAAAATTTTGGTCGTATTTGGCCTGCCAAAATTCGATTTTTGATCGGATCAAAAAACCGATAGGTCATTGTAGGGAGGACTATATATAGAACATCTAAAAAAATTTGATAGTGATCGGATCATTAGCTTTTGAGTTATCACTGCAGCAAATTCGGAAAATGCTGTTTCGAGAAAAACGCGTTTAAAGATAAAATGATCGCTTGCACTGTTATGAGAGCGGCTGCTCTTAAAACTGCTATAACTCAAAAACTATTTGAGATATCGATTTGAAATTTTAATATGTTATTTTTAAAGGTGTAATCTACCGAAATATGAAAGAAAAAAAAAAAGATTTTTTTGAAATGTCACACTAGTTGTGCCCCTTAATAGCAATATAATAATGCAGCCGGCAAATGGAAGACAACATTATAATAAAAACACTAATGTCGAAAAAAAAAAAAAAAAACAGAACAGCAAAAGCGTAGAACAAAAAAAAACTTATAGCTTGTAACAAATTTAGTCAAAGCGTGCGGAGAACAGAAGCAATCAGGCAACAAATTGTAAACAGTAAATTTCAGCAGGCAGCCAACCAAATGGGGCGGTGAGTTGGCCAAAAGACCGGGCCACATTAGCACTAAATCGCAACGACTAACGCAGTCAGTTGGTTAAGCGTTTCGAGCATAAATATACTATATATATATATATGTATATCTACGCAAAAGAGAAGGATGCTGCGGAGTCACGCCTCCGGTGGGGAGATTTATCCGCTTTAGCAGGACCAAAAGAAGCAGCAGCTCCAGCCAGCAGCATCAAAAAACTAATCTTTATTTCGATATTTGCATAAAAAACAAACATGTCAAAAAATACACACACTCGAATATAAAAGCGCGAATCCGCTTCACACGTTTTTTGTTTTAGTTTTCCTGTGCTGTTATTTTTTTTTAACACCCTGAATTTTTCGGGGGAGTGCATAAAGCTGGAAAGGCAAAAAAAAAAAAAGGTGGAAAGGGGGAGGGAGGGGGTGGATTTTAGTCAAGATATTTTGGTGAGCAGGTGAGGAGACAGAGTCACGTTACTTGCAGGTGTTGCAGCTGCAATCTATCCAAAAGCCCAGCCCAGCGTGGGTGTGTCAGTTCGTCGGCTTTTGTGGCAAGGAGTTGCAGGATTTCACAACCCGGCTCTCCACACACTCACACACACACCCACCCAGATACACACACATCGCTGTGGCAAGTGTTTTTGATCTCGCGCTGCTTTAGCCTGTTGAGAATTTTGATTAAAAATGCTTTCACGTGAAACTCAAACGTGCCCCGTGCTCGGCTCCTCTGCATATGTGGGTGCCTTTATTGGCATTCGTGGTGGCGTTTATTTTTCCACGCCCTCCTCCCCTTTTTTCCAGTGTGTGTGCAAATTTTTACATTGAGATTTATCACGCAAAAAATAATAAAAAAAAAAAAAAAAAGAAAGAACGCATATGTATATATATTTATATGTAAGCGCGTGAATAAGGGAAAACAAAGGTGGAAAAAGTTGTGTGGACAAAAAGTGCAAAATATCAACTTGCCACATGCCACGGCAACTTTTTTCATGCGAAAATTAATTGCCAGTGTTTGGATGCTGCCACTCGCGTTTCATTATCTATTGCAATTAAGTAAATGTGTTTTTTAAGTCTTGAAATTTAAGCTGTTAATGGGCCGCAAAGATTTTGTAAGTTTCTTTTATTACTAGAATGAAATATAGTGGTTAAATCGCCAGATAATAATATGCAATCAAGTAAGCAAATCTGAAAATATTCATGGATATAAACAAACCGTTAAAAACTGTTGCAGTTTTGTTTCCATTATTAAATTATTAACCAAGTTATTAGTTTAAAGTATTAGGCTTCTTTACAAAATGTTGTTCCCAAACCCTTTGCTACCTAATTAATCTGTAAACACAAACTCTTCTTTGGCG